TCCATGCATGTGAGTAAAATGGTAAAATATTTAATGCAGAAGGGAGCTGACAGTGAAGTTTTTGTTTTATCATTCAGAACAAACAGCCCGATTTATGACTGTAAGCCTAGTAAATCACTTTAAATATAATTACTGTTAACAAAGCTCTTAGGAGGCCACTTTACTAGCTGCCATCATTAATCCATTGACATTTAGGCTTATGTTTCATCTTAAGTACGGTAAGTGGTATGCAAGTGAAGTTATTACATACCAGAGCTTACACTGACTCTTTAAAATTTGATGTAGTATAATATGCCAGATATTGTGCTTTAGGGCCTGCAAATGTGCCCCACCAAAACTGTTTATTATTATTGCCTACATATAGTTACCTTAGGTTTACAGCAGCTGCAGCAAGTGTTCAATTCCTGGCCAAACACATCTACATTTTCACAGCTTTATATACCAAAGCAACTGGCCTTTTCCCTTTTACAGCTTCTTTCTTTTTCAACATGTCACTCATTCTGGTATCTTTATACTTAGTGTGCTGTGTTAGTTAGCCCCAAAGGGCTTTTCACATCTAGAATCATAGCATAGCCTCTAGTGTGACCCAGTCTTTGAAGACTTGCTCTGTGAGTAAGCCCGCGGATGGGGGCGAAGTTGTGACCTTTGGGCACTGGGCTCTGCATTGGGGTGCTTTCTGTGTACTGTCAGCTATCTTCAGAGCATTCTCTAGGCCCAGAGCTGCGGCACAGCTTCAGTTATGACCCAGCCTCTGCAGTCACATTCTTAGTGAGTATATGATTGTGGTTAATATATACTGATATGTCACATTTAGGCAATGAATTCTGATTTTTTGGCACTTCTTAGACTTAAACTCCAGGCAGATAGGGAAAAATGCAAAGCTGTTATGATTCTGTCAATAGAAAATGTATTATTTGGTGCTGCTACTATAAGTACATGATATCATCCTCCAATACCATCCAGGTTATAATTCCCAAACATAGTACTTAGACTCACAGAGAAAGGGGCAGCTCTATTACCTAGCCAGACTCTGCTAGTATGCACATGTGCTTAGGGCACATCCTGACTGAATGAGAAAGCAGAGTGAGCAAAGCAATGACCTCTTCAGAGTTTTGCCTCTGCATTATCCATTTAGCAGGCTATGGTGAATTTTGTCTAGCAAAGGTGTCTGCCTGTTTTGTCTAGCAAAGGTGCCTGAATCACAAGACCTGGCTGCAAAAAATAGAATAGCTTTTCTTCGATTCCTATACATGAAGTTGTGTATCTAGCTGCTTGCCTGAAGGTAATCTTCAATTATTAGTCTAATTCTTATTGAAAAAAATCATATGTGCTGTGTGAAGCCACAGTGGTGGTCATAAAGAGAAGCATGTCTATGACTTTATTTTCTCAACTCGCGGTCTGGCTGTGTGCTTGCCGTGGATGTTTACAGTGAAGAATGCAGAAACTGTACAGATCCAAATATGGTAGACTCTTAGTAGGGACCTGCAGAGGAGGCTATGCATATTGTCAGCCTTACATACATACGTACATCTTTGGGCAGAATATAGGTCCTTTGTATCATAATCATAATCCCCAAGGCAATTTAGATGCACAGAACTATGAAATATGTTGTGGCTTTATACATAAATACTACTAGTACCTAACACTACAATTGCAGCAGTTAGGGGGGGCACATCCATTTATGTTGGAGCAAACTATTTTATCTGAAAAAATGTATAACGTTATTCTGACATAACTACCAGCACAAATCACAATGTACCATGAAAACAAAGAAATACAGTATGTAGTATAGGTAAGAACAGAATGCAAATACATTATGACAATCAACATTGTATTTTACTACAATACATTCAGACCTTGACCACACATGGTTTTAGAGGGTATACATTACACAATACTCTTTCATTGTGAAGGCCAGGTTGTATTCAATTCAAATAGAAGCAAAAGAGGAAACTATTGTACATATGTATCATATGTATTTATGACACAGAATGTGACCACACCATCTGTCAACATTCTCAGATTCTGTTAGCTGAATTACCCAAATGATGTGTTAATTAGAAGCTAGGAAAAAAAAAATATTTCACACACTGAGTGGCCAGATTATTATGACCACCCCATCAGTACTTCGTTGGGCCACGAGATAACTCCACGAGATGACTTCGTTGGGCCGCCTCGTGACTCCACGAGATGTTGAAAGGTGATGTGAGGAATCTGACACTGCACTGTTGCCCTTCTGTTGTCTTGTACCAGTCTTGCCACTCTCCGTTCTGCCCTAACATTGACTAGTCGCTGACGGCCACAATTCACACGTTTCCGACCCAGATTTTCGGCTGACAGTCCAGTCTTTAAACACTTTAACAATGAGCCCCTCTTGAACATTTAACGAATTCTGCTGTTTTGCTGTTTTGCGCCAACAATCATCCCACGTTCAAAGGCTGTTAAATCGCGTTGTTTACCCATATCTTCAGGAAAAAATCACTTCTACTGTCGTGGTAAACAACCTGCTTCCCTATTTATAATTGTCTGGCCCTCTAGCAACTTCAGCGCTAATTATAGCTAATTTGCCTACAAACGTCAGGTGGTCATAATAAACTGGCCACTCAGTGTATATTTGTAGTTGAAAAAGAAATGTATTTGTTTTATATTAATCGTTTTTTTCCCCCGGCATCTGGTTATCATGTACTTTACATATAAAATAGGACCACAATGACAGGTGTACACATTTAATTATATTTTATTTGGGGTATACTCAAAGTAGAATTTTTTTTTTTTAATTAGAATTTTGGATGAAAAGGCTGCCCATGATTTGTGAATCTGAGCATTCTGGATCACTTAGATATATAAAGTCTTCAAAATGCTAATTTTTGTGGATGTGCTGGTAAACATAAAAACTGTGTTCCTTATAGGATTTTCATCAACCATATGTTTTACAAATGCGGAGGTATAGAGTTACCATGTGGTGCTGCAAAACAAACTTTTAACATTATCAATTCTGCTTTACATTTGCATTGATAAATGCTGTAAAAAATAAAACATATGTGTATATATATGTATATATAAATATATATATGTGTGTGTGTGTATGTATGTATGTGTATGTGTATGTGTATATATATATATATATAAAATCTCTTACAGGATAATTTTGTCTTGGTCAAATGAGCTTACAGTTTAAAGGAGTTCTGGTAGATCTGATAATTTCCAGTAATAACAAATATCTTTTGAGTCGGGGTGACAAATATAGTTGTACTAACAATGTATGTAGTCCCACAATTAGCTTGGATGCTGAACATCTGTCTATCAAATTGGCCAATTTATAGGTATGACCAATTCTTCTAGTTTGTGTTCACAAAATCGTTTGGATCATTGTGCACTATGTAGCCTTTCAATAAATAAACTAAGAAGACAAAGAATTGCAGAAACAAAGATTATTGCATTGAGCTTCCCCTACCTAGCTGTAGTAGACTGGCATGGCCACGGTTTTTCATTTTTAATGCTATAAGCATATTTTATACTTATATGTTGATGGTTTCATGCTTTTCCATTATGAGATGCCAATTCATGGCATCCATGAGCAACATGGATGAGTATACACAGTAACTTTGCATTTAAAGGATGTAGTTCTCAGATCAGAACTCAGAACAGTTTTCCTAGCTGCAGTACTGACCCTCTTGCTTTTAAAATTTTGAGTTTCTGGCCTGAAACGCATGCTCAGGAGGTATAACTTTATTCTGACTATCCTTTACTTGTTTCAGGTAAGTGACCCAGGAACTGTTAAAGGCAAAGGGTCAGGTCTATATTTGTTTTGGTATATGTTTACGTTAACATGATTGCAGCTGATTATGTCCATTATAAAGGTGTCCACTAGAAAACCTTCAGTGCTAAATGCAGTTACTACACTTCAAGGTTTGGGTTGCATTAGAAAAATATATATGAACCCATTAATCTGACAGCAATCAAATGTGCATGTATGCTGACCATTAAGGCTGCAGGGTAAATTTCTCCTAACATGTTAGCCCAGCATATTAGTGCTAACTGAGAATTAAAGTGTGTGTCCAAACTATTTTTTTTTTTAGTTTTTGATAAAGTAGGGAAGGATTAGAATCAATGTTAGGTTTTACTGCTATCTGCGACCCACTTTGACCATAAGTAAGGGAAACGTCATACGGAAACCTGTATAGCAGTAAAAATAGAACCATACTCGGTCTAATATTTAAAACAAATTATTGGCTGGACATAGTTAGCAATAGAGGTACACGTGGGTACATGACATGCACATGGGTCAGATAGGAATACTTGTCTGTGTACTCTGTGGACATCCTTGACTCTGCTCTTAAAGGCTAAGTTCACATTTTGCAAAAATTAAAGAAATGCATATTTAATAATATAAAAGAAAAATATGCCTTTCTTTAATTTTTGAATTCAAGCCTGGAAAGCATTGGAACTGTGATCACTCGATCATGGCTGCAAAGCTCAGGCTTCTGCACATTCTCTCCATTCTGGGGAACAGAGGTTGTTAGGAGAGCTATCCATATTCCTGCATCTAACTAGAGGAAGGAAACTGGACACTGTATGAGGTGATTTAATGCAGTTTTAAATCCTGCCATCCTTCCCTATCTCTCCTAACTGAAACGTTGTACCCCAGTACGGAGCTCCACCCAGTTGCATTGCTTTCCAGGCTTGAATGCAAAAATTAAAGAAATGCATATTTTTCTTGTATTATTAAATATGCATTTCTTTAATTTCTGAAAAAGGTGAACTTGGCTTTTAAGGAAATCCCAATCAGGCACTACATTTATCTAGGAAAGTCTATTTAATATAAATTTATTTACGATTCCCTTGGCTGAGGGTTTGATGCTACTAAAAAAATGACCAGAGTGGTTTCTTTATATTTATGGTTGCATGTTTGCATTAGAAGCTGGAGAATAATATATCATGTGGGAGGTTAAGGCACTGCATGAATCATATTTTTGACATATTTGTTTTGTATTTTTAAGGCACGGAGGAAGGAAGTTTTTGTCCAAGAACGATATGGAAGATTTAATCTTGGAGATCCATTCCTTGCTCTTCAACGAGACTTTGAAGCAGGTGCTGTTGATAAGGAAAAGAAGCCTATCTGTAGCAATCCCCTTACTATCTTGGAAGCTGTTATGGCACACTGCAGGAAGATGCAAGAGCGGATGTCTGCTCAACTTGTTGCTGCTGAAAGAAGACAAAGAAAGGCAAGTGAAGATGTTTAATGATAAGGAATTCTGGTTTAAAGCAAACTTGAATTTGTAAAATATTTGTCTAAACCAATGTTCATAAACGCAGGCTTATGTGTACCCAGATGTTAGTGTTGTTTTCAGTGTAAGCACCCTGGGTGTCTGAAATTGTCTTGGTTCTCCTATATGCATATACATTCTGTGTGTATGGGCCAGAAATCTGGCCCCACTCCTCCAACCTACTAAGCCTTACTATTGGCTAGTGCCCATCACTGTAAAGAGCCACAAGTAAGGCTTTGGCTTGGTGAGAAGTTCAGCTCCTGACTCAGCAACCTAGGATGTATGTGCATATTTCAGAGTACCCAGGCTGTCTGGGTGCTTACACCAAACACAGACTTAATTTGCACTTCCTACACTTCCTACATGAATTCTTCTTTGCTCAGTTTTCCCAAAATTTTTAATAGGGGCAGATCTGTCCTTTATGATGCTAAAAATAGACAGTAATTTAACTCCCTTGTTAGGTAACTGTATGTTGGCAGTCACTTCATTTGCAGTACATAAATCCATGTACTGTAAATGAGGCGATTGTCAAGTAGTTAAATCTATGGGCGTATTCAATAAATAGTGTACAGATAGTAAGAAATCAGAATTCAGTTTACTAAAATCAGACTAGTACAAGATGGATTATTTTTGCTTGCCACAGTCTACTTGTATCATCTCACATCATAACTTTATCATTTTGAACATGCTTCATGGAACGGCCTTTAAAATATATTTTTCAATAATTAACAAAAACAATTTGAAGTTTATGCTGACAGGATGATCATTTTTTGTCTACAAAGCAGTCGGCTATATCTGGTCTGCCATTAGCTTTACTTCAGCACCAGTGGAAGGACAATTAGTTCTGCTTAAATAAGCTGTTACAAAACTGTTCCCTTAGTAAAAAAAAAAAAAAAAATTCTTACCTGCTTACTTTCTTTTTGTATTTCCACTATGTTTGGATAAAATCAGTCCTTAGACATATGCGGGGCCACTACATATACCTTTTCAAAAGCTTACTTAAAGTGTATGAAAAGCCAAAACCCTTTTTTCAAAAGTCTGTGTCGCAGCAGGGAGATTTTCTATCTCTTCCTGTTCCTAAAAAATCAGCTGGAAGGAGATCTCTCATGAACGAGAGAATATCCCCCTTAGATATCAGAGTACCTTTCCCCATTAGAAGATTCTGCTCACCTCCTGTTTGGGTGACAAATAAAACATGCTGGATTTCCTATCATTTTCCCTAAGGGAGGCAGTAGTCATTAGAACTAATAGAAAGGATGAATCTCTCCAGCAGGTACACAAACAGCATTAAAAACCTGTAGTTCTAACAGTTCCCCACTTCATCCAAAACTAATTTTAAAAAAAGAGTCTGGGCCTTTATATACACTTTGAAGTAACCCTACATTCAGCTCAGATAAAAGGCTAGCCTGGGAAGGCTATGTCATCAGGGCCCTGCAGGTAGTTCTCAGAGATGAAGAGCAAGATCTTACGAGAACAGATGGCATTGTTTAGCAACTGCTAAACAATCGTAAGTCATGCTAGATCTCAGAATCATGCACAAGATCTGGCACAGACATCATCGGTGGGCGAGCCACAATAAGGAAGTAGAAAATGGCCACGATAATCTAAGAATTTGAAATGGAGGTGCAGTCTAGTAGAGCTAGGGAAGGGCAAGAGGTATGGGATCTTGAATACCATACAAGTATGAGGCAAGTAAATATGACTATGTTGCTATATTTCCAGTAAAAAATATATCAATACTGTCATTAAGTAGCAAGTGGAGGGGGGAGGTCCGCTTTGATTACAGCTCCTATGTTTATGTTCAGAAAGGTTCCTTTTAACCTACAATACAATAATGTGTTGTTTTTACCTGCTGTACTCCATCAAGATCATTTTATGCTGGTAGGAACCATGCTGTTTCTGTGCCCATATCCACCATTGCTTTATTTTGACTGACCCGTGCAGTACAGCAACGAAAGCTCCTGTTGGCTCATGTGAGCAGACCTATAACTATCTGGTTCACACCTGCTTGCTGTTAAATGCCACTCACTGGTCCTGATGTCTTTTTAATTCATCCACATATTTAGGTTAACTAGACACATGGGACACCTATAATGACTGTATTTTTTCATATATTTTTTCCTCTCTTGTAATATTGCATTGGCATCATGCTTCTTGGTCATTTATCTTAGTTGCAAATAATGCTTAGTAGAGTTCCATTGTAAACTTCTGCAACAAAATCTACAGCAGTGTTTTCTGCCTTGTCTGAGTTCTCCCCTGCTCATCATCTCCATTACATAAGCGGGAACTCAGGAAGGGTTGAAAAAACTGCTGTTCCACAGAGTCAGCCCAGTCAGGAGTTTGCTGGGTTACCAGCAGGTTCAACATAATATTTTTCTGCTCTTGCTTTGTTTTTAAAAGACAAAACATTGGGAAATAGGCATGTAATACAGAGATGTACTGCATATGTTTTTATGGGTTTTTTTTGCCCAGACATACACTTTCATAGTCAGCTATCACATTACATTTGAATAATTATTTTAAAACATTTATTATTGTAACTTGTTGACATTGCATTACTCTCCAAGAAATACTTGGCAAACCCCAAAGTAAGAAAACTGTTTCATAACTGAGATCTTTTTTGTGTGCTGTGTTAAGTGGGAAAGGAAGACTAATGGCATATAAAGGTTCGACAAACGAATTCTTTTTTGCTGCAAGAGCAAGACTAACAATAGCTCTTTCAGATTTAGCTTTTGCTATTTCGTGGGTCAATGTAATTGGATCCATAGCTGGTCATTCAAAACTTGGTGTTCTTTGATCATTGTTTACTATGAGTTTGCCAAGAAAAACCTACAGTAGGTTTGTTAACCTGTCCAAAGGCAATTTTTTGTAACTCCTTTTTTAGGAGAGATAACACCAATAGAGTTACTGTTTAGAAAAAAATATAATCTACTAAGTCTTATCAGTATTTGTAATTTAGGGTGTTAGGATGTTTCTTACCCTTACATACAATCTGAAACTTGATATGATAGTTTATTTACCAAATAATCTGATGGACAGATTTGAAATGTGTGTGTGTATGTGTGTATATATATATATATATTATTACTTTTAACCTCCATTTACTCGAGAAAATATCAAGAGTACTTTAGCTTTAGCCTTGGTCAGCTTCAGTATTGGCTAATACCTTCAATAGACTAACATCTGTGCATTATATGTGTGCAAGCTAGAAGGTACCTTTTGAGACAATTCTTTGGTTGTCGAGCCACCCTAGGATCAGGCTTTGTGTAACTTGTGGCCAATTGGGAGAACAAAGTACTTTCCACGCATTGTACCTTACTTAGAAGATTAGGTCTTTAATGTGGCAACCCATTTGTATCTGGCTTCACTACAGTGTAAAGCTCGTGAAAAAACATTTTAACATACCTTTTTTTTTTCCGCATTCCAGCTTGAGGCAGAGAAAAGTCAACTGCAAAACCTGGAACAAGAGCACAAAAAGCTGTTGGCTCGTCTGGAAGAAGAACGTACCAAAAATAAACACGTGGTTCTGATTCTAGTGAAAGAATGTAAACTTTTGTCTAGTAAAATAGTAGAAGAAGCTCAAAGGCTTGAAGATGCAATTTCCAAGTTAGAATTGGAAAAAAAGAAGGGTGCTGAACTAGAAGAAGCACTGGCTGCTGAAAAACAGATCCGATCACAAATAGAAGCACAGATGGAGGCTCAAATTGAAAAACAACTTTCAGAATTCGACACTGAAAAAGAGCATCTTCGTGCCAAGCTCTCTCGGGAAGAAGCACACACCAAAGAGCTACAAGATGAGATTGATAGAATGAAGAAAATTATTGAACAATTGAAGTTGTCAAGAGAAGAAGATAGTAAAGCAAATATACCACTTCTGCGGAAGAGCAAAGATAAACACTCTTTGACTGGAAGTTCTGTATCACGATCCGTTTCTTGCCAGGCAAATACATTAGGAGTAGATAGTGACTCTGAAAATAGCAAGAAGCCTCCTTTGACTATACCAGCCAAACCATCTATAGTCAACCATGTCATTGGAGGTGGCACAAAGATAAATGTTTGCACAAATTCTGCATTTGCAAAGTCAGTTATAGATAGACAGACAGTCCATAACGATGGTCTTCCTACGAATTATAGCAGGACAGAAGAGAACGGCTGCTCTTCAGAAGTAACAAGCAGTTCCTCTTTGTACCCAAATATTCCATTTTGTACCTCTCCGGCTTCGCCAAGTTATTTGTCTCAGTCTATGCAGAGCTTACATTCACCTTGTTCAAATACTACTATAAATTCAGGTGTTAGTCCTCGCATCCAGGCTGCAAAGTTTAAGTTTCAGGCAAATGCCAATGAGCATGACCAAAATGGAAACACAACTCATAATCCTCAAACCAGAGAAGTGTCTCCCAACAGCCGTGAAAATTTGGTTGCAAAGCAAATGGCTAGAAATACTGTGACTCAAGTTCTCTCTAGGTTTACAAGTCCTCAGACTGGTGCACAAATTAGACCCGGGTTTTCCCACCCAATTGAAACAGGCACATATCCACCCGTAGCTGGACGTGGTGGCCATTCATCTTTAGCACTAAAATCAACTTCAGTTTCAAGAGTTGATAGAGGAAACCCCCCACCTATACCTCCAAAAAAGCCTGGACTTTCACAGACTCCACCTGCACCACATCCTCCTTTAAAAACACCACCAAATATTGGGGGGAAAATTGATCATAAGCCCATAACATCTGCTCCTGCCACTTCAGCACATGGGTTCAGGGTATTAAATGAGGAAACTGTGTCTAAGTCTTCTTCACCTCAGCTGCCACCAAAACCATCTTTAGATATACCTGTGGCATCTGCAGGCTGTGTCATACCAGCCATAGGCACATCACAGGTGGGTGCTTGGCCTTCCCAGTCCCCTGGATGGAAAGAACCTGCATGTTCAGAAAGTTCCCTTGTCATTCCCACAACCATTGCCTGTACCTCCTCCATACACCCTGTTAGTGCCTCATCCTGTAGACCATGTGATTCAGACAGCCTACTGGTAACAGCATCAGGTAATGGGATATATATCGGTGCTACTGTTTTCTCTGCCAAATGTTACCCTTTTTATTACTTCTTTCTTAACTGTCATTCTTCAGAACAGTCTTTCCATAGCTCATTATATTCTCCTTTCATACATGGGGTATGAGAATCTGTCTTAACATGGCATTTGGTGCAACATGCAAGGAAATCTGACCTCAAGAGGCTGCATTTCTCTTTCAAATGATTTTTGCATATGAAAAAGGGTCCTATAAACCACATATTGTTTATAAAATAGATATATAAAGAAGCAGACTAGCAGTGTCACTACATTTTGCTACATTTTCCTTCTTTCAATCACTTAGATTATTTGAATTTACTTGTATACTTACGGGGTTACACAGAAAAAGGATGAAGAGTTTGGAGAAAGCAGGAGAAGTGAACAATCTAGGACAAAACAGCTGCACTGGAAAGTGAGCTGAATTGGAGAAGTTTTCCAAATCCGCAATCTTGGCCTAGATTGTTCACTTCTCCAGCCATCTCCAAACTCTTCACCCTTTTGTGAATAACCCTTTCAGAATGTGTTCAATTTAGTTAATCAATAACTTTATTTTCTGTGGGTTAATATAACAAATATTCACTTCCCATGTTGCCCAACTATTTAAAGGCAAAGAGCAGTGTGTAAAGTGCAGTTAAATTAAAACACATTGTTGATTGTTATTGCTGTTCTAAATTGGTAAATTATGTTTGGTTGCAATGGCAAAAGCTTAAGCTAAGTAGCCAGTGTACACCCCTCAAATAATTTAGCTGATGTAAAACTTATTTTAAGCTTTTTCTGTTCTCATCAATGAGAGAGCATGTACTGGCTTATAGATTTTATGAACTGGCGGCTGCATTCTTCATAAACCTGTCCATTGCTTGTCTGTATGTTAATACACATAACTGCTCTTTGTCCTGACTTAAGACTAAAACCGATTTTATAAGAATAAAACGCCAGGGGTAGGTCACCCTAATGTGTTCAATGGTTAATGCTTGACATATCACTTTTGTAACATAGTCATTAAAAACTAGGAAGATTAAACATTCTGCCCAATGTTCTACATTGAAATGCAAGAAGCTAAAAGTACAAATTTGCGATCGCAGGAATCTTTGTAACTTGGACCAGAAGACACAGGTGCGGGTGGGTGGTATTGGGTTAGTATGCAGGAAAAAACATGCCTCAGAGTTTTCTTTGTGTGGTTACCTTATGATATATTCAGGCAGAGTCAGCATTCATTTAGTCATGAAGGTAACGTTACTGTATGGATAGATTAAACATTTTTGTCCGATTTGCTCTAAACTAGTAAATTTGCCACACTGTTATTGTTCACAGAATGGTGTTCTGGTGTTGGCAATGGATTGATTGTATAGTAAACCTGTTGAGCGCCCTCTGATGTTTTTTAGTCAGGTGTTGTAACGACACTTTGGCTTCAATACTTTGAGTTGCTGAACTGGAACATGTATGCAGGCCAGGATAGTCAGTGAAAAGGTAGAAGTCCTTTTCTGCATACTTGTTTCGATTGTTGACGCTAAGGGTCAGCAAATAAGACAGCCACATTTTTCTGGCGGGGAATTTCTTCATGTTCTTTCATAACAGATTTACTTTATTGCTTTGTAAGTTTTACTTAAAGGAAGTCTGGTCCTTAGAGGAAGTCTGCCATGAAAAACATAGAAACTGCCATTGCTGGCCTCAATATCTCTTACTAGATTTTAAACCATTATAGATAGATGTATCTGCATCCTTTACTATAAATCTTTTTATATAAATATTAAAGCAGGTTTGCAGTATTATGGGCACCTCAAGCATTATTGCCTTCTAGTCAACATTAAACTATCTAGATAGCTTTTTCACAGATCACAAGTGAGCACATACCTTGCAGATGTTTTCTGCACTGTGGCCTTCTTATTCTTTTACAACGTATGATTACATTACAATATGAACTGGAAAAATTAACATGTGGGCCACTAAACATTAATATCAACCTCTCAATGCATACACTATAAAATATGTAAAACCGATAGCACTTACTGCCAATCATGAACTGGTGTAAATCCATATATAGCCAGTCCATGAAGGAAAAGAATGTGATAGGCAGCAACCTGTACTTTCATCCACTGCCTAGCACATTTAATTCCCGTGTAAGCTACAAGCAAACTTAATTGTCCTTTTAAATATATTTACTACTGCTTACATTTGGTGTTGGGGACTGTGAGTGCACAAATATGAAGATGGTAGGAAAGGCAATGTAAAAGAAAACTAGAGGGGGCCATAACTGTAAGCTGGACTTAAGCTGACGTTATCAGACATGATGTAAAATTTGGTTTGAAGCCTACCATCTGTCTGGTTCTATGCAGTTCATTTACAACTGAATGAATACCAAGCATAGTAGCTCTGTGGAATCCTATCTAAGTTGGTGACATTAACCTGGCTACATTTAGATATTTTTGCTGAGCTGGGGCAGCTGCCCATAGATGACAAGATTTGGTGTGCCCTCAAGTGTCCAACTTAAGATTGTTTCATTCAGTTGAATGCTTTATTGCACTGATCTGTAATAGCAGACTCGGTTAAAGTGTGAATGAGCTGCTGATTAATTTCTAAGCTTCATTTTGGATTTGTGTTTGGACTAAAGTTGCCTTTTCTTCTTATTCCTAGATTTGCCATTTTCCATCAAACAGTCTTGGCTTACTGTGCTCTGCACTTGTTCATGCAGTTTTGAAAAAAGCAGAACATTCTGCCAATTAGGAGGCCAAGCTTCACATAAAAATTCACAAGCGTTTGCCTTGATAGAAGTTAGGTCAGTAACTGCAACAACTTTTGTTATGTAATGATGCCAAAACCGGCTTGATCTGCGACTCTCTGGAGCCTTTTGTCATAGTTCCTAGTATTTATTCTTTGCTTAGGAGTATGTTTTATCGCGCTGCTAAAAATTCTGACTACTCAGGATTTTTTTGATTTTTTTGATTTACATGCTCTAAGCTTAAGTGCTTTACAAAACCACTAAACCCAAAATACAATTGGTCTCATTGACCTTAAAAGTGTTTATGTATATGTACTGTGTGTGTTGTGTGTATGTGTATATGTATTTATATACATACATATATATATATATATATACTCTGTTTGTGTGTTTTTGTGTTTGTATGTTTGATATATATATCAATTTTTTTTTCTATTATGAATGTGAAAGTGTGATTAACTTAATGAAAACAATCTCATCAGTATGTGTGTTAATAATTTAAATATGTTTTATATATATATTTATATAATGCTATTATTAAATATACTACTGTTGTTAAATATTCTATTATATACCGTATATAAATGTTTTTTTTAAAAACTGATCACAATGGGTTTTTCCCGGGAATGATCTGTGAACAATAGTCAGCCTTCAGTTCACCAAGAAATAATGTTTCTGTCTTTTTTAGACTAAGGGCATGATTATTAAGCAGTGAGGAATTAGTTCTCTATTCATTTGCTTCAGATTCACTCTTTGGGTCATTACCATAATTGTAAAGCACATTTGCCGATTGCATGTTCCTAAGATTGGGCCCCATTCACTGCACATCTGGATTTCCCGTCCTTTAATGTTAAATGTAGATCCCTGTAACGTTTGCACTTTTTATAATGTTTGAATGGTACTGCCACTGTTCCCAATCCTCTTGATTTTAGCCACCCAAAGAGGGAGAATCATTGGTGTTGCTGTTGCCTTCTATGGGGGGACCTGTCATTCTCGCACTGTATGTGCTTGCTCTCTCTATACATTCTTCAGATGTTGGATGTTTTGCAAGGATGTTAAGCCTAAAATGTAATGTGCATTTGTCCCTGTTGCCACCTTTTAGGAAAGTTCATAACTTCCCTGAATATGTAGGAGAAATGGCTTGCAAATGACTGCCCTTTACATTTATTCACCAGAGTAAGGAGTGCTCAGTTCATGATAGTACCTAGTGGGAAAATATTCCCACTAGGTACTATATAGTGGGAAAGAACTCAGTCACTTTGAAAATAGTATTATATACAGTATGTGGCATGAATGTTGTTCGTTATACATTAACATATCGAAGCACATTTCCCTTGGCCTCTGTTATAATATATGGTCTCATGGCTGACTTTAGGGAAAAAACAAAGCCATACATGAGCTAGGGAGATATTTTTAGAATCTAGCAGGCAAATATATTATTTGTTGTTTTTGCAAAGGCATGAACAATCCGACTATAATAACAATGTTTTTTTTAATTTAAAAAAAATATTTTCGATGATCATGGAGAATCTAAAGCTACCCAGACCTTTCCTCATAACTTATGTATTTTGTCGCTTGCAGAGTTTGAGATAAAATTATTTTAATTTCTCAAGGAAGAAGGGAACCTACTTTTGATATTGAACACAATTTGTGGGGCTGCTGAAATATGTGAGACTGAGGCCAATTATTTACTATACATCAAGATTTTATGTCCAGAGAAAGTCTTTAACTCTTAGTTTTACTCTGATGTCTGAACCTTGTTAATCCTTCAGTATGATTTTCATATTGGATATGACTGGGATATCATATACTATTAGAGCCCTATCCTTGTATAGGATATTGTGGTATCAGAAAACTGGACCTTGTTCACATCTGTGTAGCAAAAAATAAATACAGGCCTTTACCCAAAAGAATCTAGTCCTGAAAGGAATATGCAGGCTGCTATTGCTGACCCGTGCTTAGAATAATGCTTGTTGATCCAGGGTGGAACTGATCCAATAGCTTCCATACTTGCATATGATAACACTAGTTGCTTATGATAAGGCTGGTTGACTAATCCAATAGCTTACATACTTGCATATGATAACGCTAGTTGATTGGCTGTCAGACTGATGCAATAGCTTCCATACTTGCGTATGATAACACTAGTTGATTGGCAGTCAGACTGATCCAATAGCTTCCATACTTGCGTATGATAACGCTAGTTGATTGGCTGTCAGACTGATCCAAAAGTATCCATAATTACTTATGATAATTCT